TGTTTCGGCTTGTCGTTGTTTATTGATAAATTTAAAGATCTATTTATTTATTTATTTATTTATTTGGGGGGTTGTTTATTTATACATTGTCTTCCCTTTTCTTCCTACTTTCTTCTTTTTTTGATCCATTCATTCTTTCTGCTTTTCCACCCTTTTCTTATTAGATCTGTTCTTATGAATTGTGAATTTTATGAATTGAGCTCTACGTCACCGTTTCATTTCTTTTCCCTTTTCTTATTTTCCTAATTCTTCCTTTCTCCTTTATTTGTCTCTTTGTTTGTTTGTGTGTTCTTCTTCTTCCTTATCCTTCCTCCTTTTTTATTTCTCCTTTATCTGATTTCTTTCCCTCCTTCCTTTCTCCGTTTCTTTTTATATCTTTCAATTGTAAATGTTTTGAAAAAAAGTTTCAATTGTAAAAAAAAAAAAAAAAAAAAGTAAACAATTGTTAAAAAAAAGTTACAAACGTATAAATGGAGTAGGTCGTGTTTATGTGCATTTTCTCTCGTCTACTGCATTGTTTACATGCGATAAATATTCCTCCAGAGCGTCTCCTGTTCATTTCTCCAGTGTGTGCTACAGGTTGGGCGATTCATCACTGTAATGAGATACTGGACTTAGATGGAGAGAGGTGAAAGAGAAGAATCATTATGGTTATGTTTGATGAATTATTAGAAAGACATTTGGGGGAAGGTTGGGACACCGTGCCCTTTCCATGTGATGTCAAGAACCTCACCTGTTCTCCATCCATCAAGTTGAATTCCTCCGTTTATGGCTCAGGTAATAACGATCAGAGAGATCAGAGTGGTGTTAAATCTCAGATGGTTCATTCCACTACACTGAGCACGAGCGTGGCCTTGAACCTTGAAATTAAAAAACCCCCTTCGAAAAAAAAAAAAATAAAATTAACAAAAAAATTTTTATCCATAATATTTTTTTTTTTTTTTTAATTTTTTTTTTTTTTTTTTTACTTTATTTCCTACCTGCAATTATCTCCTCTAAATTTTACTCTACAATCTGAGAACCGTGCTTTCCTCGAAACCTGTCATATATGACCGCTCATTAAACGTGCATAGAGAGGTTACGGAGAAAAATAAAGCTTAGAAGGACGTAGACGAGATCGTTGGGGCGTCTGGTCGATGTTTTCAGCTAGTAACCGAAACAGGGTGTGCAACATGTCAATCTGATTAGCGTGTTATTTAATTAGTGCTTAACGAGTTAGAGGAAACAAATCGAGATATATAGGTCGACAGTGGTCCCTCTGGTGAGTGTATGGAGCTGGTGCAGTTCGCTTGGATTAATATGAAGCCGGGCACGTAACGTACATCAAACCTTAATTGGTCAACTTGCACAGGTTCACTTTACTAAAATATTAGAATGCATTTTAAACGCGATGCATTCGTACGCTGTAGGCTACATTTACTGTACTGCCTTCTCTCGACATTGATTGAACTTAAAAGTTCATGAACATTAATGAGGAAACATTAATAGAAAAACGTGTTATAAGAAAGAAAAGATTGAAACCAGGAAGACAAATTGCTCAGAATCGCAAATCAGACAGAATGAACGAAAGCCTTGTGAAGGACGGAGTGGAGTCTGCTCTTCCGATCCATTGTGCACATGATCATAAAGCATGCTGATAGAATATTAAACTTTTCGAACTAGGCTACTTCGGTGTCGCTAGCCAACGGGAGGCAGAGCTAAGCTATGGGTTTAGCTGCTACAGCGCCAGGCACATTAGTACATTATCTTTGTTTACGCTCTGCTCGTGTCACATTGACGTAAACTGGAACTCATATAGACATGTACACACCTTGTTTTCCTGCTCAGCATCAGAGGATGTCACGTTTCAGTTTCAGGCCCCTTTACAGGTTAAAAAATCCAGACACGCAGAGCCGAAGCACGACCGAGCCCAGCGTTCTTCTGCGAAATAAAACCGGGCTATAACTTACATAATTAAAGCTCAAAAAATATGTTTTGATAGGGTACAACACGAAAAGCAAAAGATGTGGCGTATAATACTAATCTACTGATGACACAAAACAAAGCTTCGAATAAACCTCTGGGGAAATTGTGAAAGGTTCTCATAATGATCTTTGTCCTGATGTCATGTGTATATTTACCCAGAGGGAAGGTCAGGGTCCAGGAGGAGGTCTGGGGTCATACATAAAAGATTCGATGATTGCTGAAGCACAAATTCATTTAGGTTCAGCAAGGATTCACAATTAAGTGACATGTCTATGGGGTTTATATATGCTAGTGGCAGGAAATGGGAATGATAACCGAGGAAGTGTTCCGAGAATTTAGACGAGGTTGACATCTGCTGTTGTGGTAGTCAAATGTCGCAAACAGACTGGACGATCCTTATCCAGGACGATCCTTATCCACCTGGAGCCTGTCCCGGGGAACTCGAATAGACAACGCAGGGGACACCCTGGTTCGCAGGGAACAATCAAACACTCACACTCTCAACTACAGACAGTTTAGAAACACCAATCAGCCTACAACGCATGTCTTTGGACTGGAAGAGGAAACCGGGGTACCTGGAGGAACCCCCCGAACATGCAAACGCCACGCACACAGGGCTGAAGCACACTTTGCTCTTAATAGGCATTGCGACATTTTCTTTGTACATGAACTGCTTCCTTTCCGATTTCTGAAGATGCTTATTGACAATGTAAGATCTCGAATCTGCAATAATTCGCTCTGCCAAAGATAGCTGTCCACTTACACTGGAGATGTAATGAATCGGGACCGCAAGGCATTCTGGGAGCTTGTATTTAACTGACTGGACAAAATTGAGCATGAGGAACATGATACAGGCTAAAACGAGGCCGATGCCGTGTTGCAGGTGTGTCTGAAACATGTCAGTGCATATGGAGATGGAATCGATGTAGTCACCTGACACGAGCTGATTGAATGTACAGTCTGTGCTAGAAAGACATCAGCCCCAGGCTCATTTCTTTGCTTCTTCACACCGTTCCATGTGGTTTTCTTACAAACGTTGGTGGTGCTCTTTTACTGATGATTTTACTGATGTCTTTTTATCCTCAAAATCCCACAGGGGTTTATATGTGTCAGGGGTTCATATATCAGCACACATTTCCTCGAAGAGAACAGCACAGGTAATTATTTCAGTCTTGACACTGCATTATTTTCAGGTTTCAAAGCATTCTCATTAACCTGACAACAACAACAACAACAACAACAAGATCCTCAGTAATGTGCGTGCATGCCTGACTTTTGAAACGTCTGCAAAATATTACCTGGTGTTTAAACACACGTTCTGCCAATGTAACGTAGAGACAGAAGCGTCCACGATTTGGCACGTGTCATGTTCCGGCTGAGCGTCTGGTCGTTCCTGTGCAGACGATTTACTGTCTCTGAGTCACAACACACGCGGCACAACGTCATCTGCACAGACGGTGAGATGTGAATGCTCCGAAGGATCCGGTTAAAATGTATGCCAGTCTTCTGTCTGGATGGACGTTTGAAAGAGGTGCAGCAGCATTAACGATAAGCTTCTGGGTACGATCGGCACGCGTGGTGGAAGAATAGTATTTTAACACAAAGCGGCTTCTATCTATTAAAATCCCTAGAAAGAAACGCAGTACCCTGAAAAGAATAAGCAGAATAGAAGATGGATGGATGGACGGATGGATGGAGAAACGCAGTCATTTTAACGTGCAGTTTTACAACTTTGAGTTAGTTTCCTTTAAACCCAAAATAGGAAAGTCATGAATTCTAAGGAGCAATTTTCATGCTCATTAGGACTTTTTTTTTTTCTTTTCTCCAGCGGCCGTTCTCCTGTGAACGTAGGCCTTCAAACACCTTAAGAGTGATTCTCCTTGGTGCAATTGCCAGTGTAGTTCCAGCCTGACTACGCTGAATATTCCTATCATTTAAACAGACATTTTTCTTGGAGGCATTTGAGAGCTTTTGAGGGACTTGAACAGACTCAAGGCACTGATTGGTACAGGGATGCCTGAGGTGACTCTTAATACCATGGCAGCACAAATCACAAAAGGAAAAAAATATAAAGAAATTTAATAGAAGCCTCAATCTCAGAGGAGGTTTTATTCTTGTACCTTTAGAAGAAATGTTAAGGACAGAGGACACTGCATCCCAAAAACGGAATATCGAGGACATGTAACGTTGTGGTCTTACAGCTCCAGCTTGCCGGTGTGGTTCGACTCTGAGATCGGGTTTCTCTCCGTGTAGAGTTCCACCTGTTCTTCTCATGTTCAGGTTCTCCGGCTTACTCACACCTCCCGAAAACATTCCAGTAAGTTGACTGATGACTCTAAATTGCCCCTTGGCATGAATACGTGTCTGCAATGTTCACTGTGATGGACTGGTGTCTCCAGCTTCACGCTCAGTATTCCCGCTACCTTGACTAGGATGAGTACCTCAAACTCTATGGTGTCAGGAAGCAACAACTTTAATCCCTATATGTATAGCATGAATTGAAAGTGAAAATTTGAATTAGAAGCCTGTACTTGGCCTGTCGTGACCTTTATGGAGCAGGGTCAGCAGTACAGGAGTTGTCCTCTCTGTGTTCATGTACTCTAGGTTTCCTCTGGGTTCTACAGCTTCCTCCTAAAAACATGCCAGCAGGTGGATTGATGACTCTGAATTTTCCCACTAGGTGTCAATGATCTTCTTCAAGGTTCCTTGCAATGGTCCAGCGTCCCATCCAGTGTGTATTCCAGCCACTGGTCCAGTGTTCCCAGTATGTGAATGAATGAACAAACAAACAAACGAATGAATGAATGAATAGACCATCGTTTATTTATTTATTTATATTTGCTCAGTTGCTCGAACTGTTTCTATAGACCTCAGTGCTTAATGTTCCTCAACATCTTTGGCCTCAGATTCTCAAAGCACAACAATACCAGGCACACAGTTAGCTAAGCTCAGGCCCCGCCCTGTTTCAGAGAAATCTAGAGTAACCTGAATGAGATGAATAAACAGGTGGATATGATTATTTGGTTATCTACTAAGGCAGTGGTAGCACAGTGGTTAAGGCGTTGCTCCATTGCTCAGAAGGTTGTGAGTTCAAACCCCAGTACTGCCAAGCTGTATTGTTGGGCCCTTGAGCAAGGCCCTTCAATTGCTCAGATGTATGAATGAGATAAATGTTAGTCACTCTGGATAAGGAAGTAGAAAGTGTAGCTCAATCAGACATTTTGAACGAGTCGTGTCCACTTAGCAGAGATTTGAGCGATAGAAGACAACTGGCAAATAGAATTTAACCTCTAATTTAATGCTAAGACATAATTTCGATCCTTGAGTCGGAGTGCTAATTGTGTATATGGGTTTTTAGTCCATTAGGAGGCCATACGCGATTCCTGCGCTTATTAATGAATGCCTAGTAAGTATGGATAATTTGAGCCCTCCTGAGAGTCTGAGCAGAATTAAAAACGCTGCCTTCATCACACTCGCCCTGTGAGTGAGAAGTTAACTCACGGAGTTTGAATTGTTTCATGGAACTGGGAGTAGTGTCGTGATCAGAAAATAACGCTTATTTCTAAAGTAGCACTTTATAGTGACATTTCTCATATAATGTAGATAGTTAACATTAAGAATTGCATCGTCGTTTATATAATAAGGAACAACAACACCATGTTGTGCTGGTGTAGGAAAATAATCAGCGCTGGCGTGGAGGGATGTAGCGGAGATACGGTTATCATGTGCATTTCCAGTAAATACGCATGTTTGATCAATAAATTATTAAAAAATATAGATTTTTCTCAACCATACCCCACTGCTTTAACCAATTGTACACACTGATTTATCTTCAATGAGGCTTTTCCTTTTCAAATTACAGCACTTCAAGGCACACGTCCACACCTAGTGGCAATTTGGAGTCGTGACTGAACCTATCTGTTGTTTTTTTTTGGAATTGGGAGGAAACCAGAGAACCTGCAGGAACCCACACTGACATGTAGAGAACATGTGAAGCTCCACAGAGACAGTCACCTGAGATCAGGATTGAACCTGGAGCTGTAAGGCTGGAACTCTGCCTGTTGCACCAGCCGTTGCCAAGCTATCTCTTATGTTTGGATGTATTTTTAGGTTTCAGTGCATACCTCATTTTCCAAACCTTCCACCAAAACAAACAAATAAATAAATAAATAAAAATCAGTGGGTGTAGATGATGTTTTTTTTTGTAGATTGTGTGCCGGTTGTGCTGAAGGTTGTTTTGCTGTGGAGGAAGGAAGTAACAAATGGTAAAAAAAAAATAAAAAAATATATATATACATATATTAGTGGTGCATATGTCCATCAGATCCAGTGTACACAGTATATAAATGACCTTCACACACACACACACATAGCGCGAGAAACACACACATCGTGACTATACACACACACTTTATAATAACTGCACTCTTAACAAAACATGGCCTTTAAATAATATTATATAAATCTCATTATTATAAACACGTCAAGGCCAAATATCCGAAGTGACACGGCTTCTCTGAACAAATTCACACCTCTGGAAACCATGACAACCGGGAAAACACGACTCTGAAATAGAAATATGGAGACGTTGTTCTATCTTGAGCATACGCGGCTGGAAATACGCGTGATCTTTGCTTCTATATCGTCTTTCGTGGGGAAATGACAGGAACTAAAACAAGAGATGAGAGGAAATGACATTCCCTCGGATGTGTACAAAGAGACATTTCTTACAGTGTGGTTCATTTACTTGTCGTATCTATTTTGCCGTTCCGGTCCCTCATTTTAGACCCTTAGCTTCACTGTTTACGTTTAATGCAGTGTGAATTATAGCAAGACTCATGGACTGGAAATTGGGGTCGCAACATGGATCTTAATTAATGTTTTATAGTGAGTCAGGGTCGTTTTAATACGAAATGATACTGTCATCATTGGATAAATGGGCTGGGAAAGACCAGAGCACTCTTTTAGTACAATATTTCACATTAACAATGCCTGATACTGATACTGTACACGTGTAAATGCTAAATGTTTTTGTTTTTATTGCATTATTGCATCCCTCGCTGTCAATGACTGATACGTCATACTGGGTAAAGTCTGCTATTTTCACTCACCTTGCATTCATTATCTGTCGCTTCTAGTTGTTGTGGTATAAGAAGAATAAAGCATCGTGACGTGCTGTTTTTAGGGAAATGATCTCCAGGGTGGTAAGACTAGCTCCAGGATAATTTCGATTCATGACATTCACACACCAGCTGGGATCGAAAAGATCTGAACATCAAAATCAGCGTTACACTTAACGCTACTGAGTTGTTTGAAGAAATGATAAACACTATGACTGGAAGATACAGTACTGTGGAAAAGCCTAGGGCAAAAGATGCCTTCAAAAATCATGAAATGAAATGTTTATACACACCCTGTCCAGGGTGTACCCCGCCTTGTGCCCGATGCTTCCTGGGATAGGCTCCAGGTTCCCCGCGACCCTGAAGAAGGATTAAGCGGTTGAAGATGAATGAATGGATGGAATGTTTATACATTTAAAAAAAGAAACATGCTATAAAGAGCAGTAAACAGTAATAAATGAAACAAAGTCAATGCGTAACATAGAAGACAGCACGATTTGTATCAGACCACCAAATCTGTAGGCGAGCAACTGACAAACTGTTCCTTGTTACCCAGGTGCGTCGCGTTAGACCGATTGTTTCAACAATAAATAGCTCTGAACATCTACTTTTAATTTGTGCCTCCGGTTTCATATGTGGAGACTGTATTTGTTGTTAAAAAGGATAAACCGACATGAAGATCAGAGAGCTGTCTATGGGAGAGAAGCGAGCCATTTTGAAGCCGAGATAAGAAGGAAAACTGTAGAACGAAGCAGTTGTCTCAGGTAGAGTTAGTACAGTTTTATTTTTAATTTAGGAAATGAGCTGTAAGTTTACCTGAGCGTCTTGCATATCCAGCCACGGTTCTTCTCTTCTCTAGACTGTTGCACTCATTTCTTATTTATTTTTTAAGCAAAACCCCACCAGCCTTCATTATGTTTTTTTTGTTTGTTTGTTTTTTTTTTGTCTGAAAAACTGCCATATAAACATTTATTCTGTAATATTTAAGTCTGTGCTGGAAATCTAATGTTTGGAAATCTAAAATGGCACTGACTCCATCATGTAGAAGTCATCAACAGTTTGTAAATGGGAGATGTTGAGAGTTAACACAACGAATTTAAGATTCGAACCTCACGAGATCGTCTCAATCTTTAATTCATTTTGTATCGCATTAATTAGACTATTATGCGAGTAGCCTGGCTCACTAAATCACTGGTTTGTACTATTTGCGTTGTTTTTTTTTTCCCCCTGCGTGGTCTTGATAACAAACCATAATTATCGCTAGAGCTTTAGGGATTTGTTTACGAAAGGATACGGAATCTGTCTTCGGGACCGAATTTCCATTTTCATGCTTCTATCTCACTCGGAACATATGATTACCGTGTCGGGAAAAAGGAAAGCGTCATAAACGGCCTGATGTGTTATTGCTCGCACATCTGCCAAGCTGTTTGTAACCGATTGTGAGTAATTAATGTTTCCAGCCAAGTGTGAGGAAACGCTGTCTGGTGTCCGGATTGAAATTAATAAAAGAAAAAGAAAAAAGCAAAAAAAAAAAGCAGCAAAATTCACAGCAGAGGTGATATCCTGCCAGTGTGATGTCTTTTCTTTGGCAGCTTTGCGTCTTGATAAATTGAATAAGAACAACGGATGTGCTTTATCGCCTGATTTTATTTACCTCGTCGATGTTTCTACAGAGGAGAAACGAAATGAAAAATCCATATTAGATTCACATAAATTCACTTTATTACTGGAAGATTCTGCTTAGCAGAATGTATTTTTTTCGACGTATATATCCATCCATCCATCTTCTATACTACTTTATCCTTTTCAGGGAACCTGGAGCCTATCCCAGGGAGCATCAGGCGGGGTACACCCTGGACAGGGTGCCAATCCATCGCAGGGCACAATCCCACACAATACAGAGACTTTAGCCACACCAATCAACCTACCGTGCATGTCTTTGGACTGGGGACATGCAAGCTCTGCACACACAGGGCCACGGTGGGAATCGAACCCGCGACCCGTGAGGCGAACATGCTAACCACTAAGCCACCGTGCGCCCTAGACGTATGTAATGTATTTAAAATAGATAGACACAACTATTCTGTGTGTGTTTACGTTTTAAGGAAGGCAAGCGCTTCCCGAACACTTTTGGGTGAGAAAATATAAAGGTTTCACAGGCGGTTTCATGAATCTTTCATGAAAGAACCGCAGTGCAGTAACACAACCGCGAGTCAAAAATAGACACGATTTATCAGGAATGATGCCAAAGCAGAAGTGAGATGTCTATTAAGTGGACGTTTATTTAAAAAAAAGAAAAAAAAGAAAAAGAATCATTACTTTTTAATTCTGAACTCTAACTTCCGTTGTGAGTTCTTTATAGTGCAGAAAAGGTCAGCCAGCTCAGCCTGCGGTTTTTATGGACTGCTGGCATTTCGATAATGAAAGAAGACATATGAGAGTATGAAGAGGGGGGACAAAGATACAAACAGTCAATGAAAGCAATTTTTGTTAGTAATTAGACAGTAGTGGTAGTGAAAGGTCAAATGTCTAACTGTAGAAACGTCATGGGCTGTCCAGCGATTCCCTGATGAGCTCCGAAGGGTCCCTTCAGAGTGCACTTTAACGCCATAGTTTGAAGACCAAGCTTGAATTCTGTCCATTGAGCAATTGCTGGAACCTGTGTAAACAAGAACGTGTGCTGCAAATTATGTGTTTCAACTCTCAGTGTGTCCTTGTGTAGGTGCAGTAAGTCTTGTCATATTTTTTCTTTTTTTAATCGGAAGCAAATGTTAAAATTGACTAATCAAAATAATTCCAAACAGGCTAATTTGGTTCTTTGAAAACATCCGGAGTTTTCCTGATATATCTGCGCTCCTGGAAAGGACACTCTGGACCTTGTTTACACCAACATTCACAGTGTTTACAAGGCTGCACCCTGCCTCACCTGGGCTGCTCGACCCACATCTCTGTTATGCTAATCCCAGGAAACAGATCACCTCGAAAATGT